TTGAAAGCAGAGCTTTGAAGGATTAACAAACATATACAAATCATTATCATTTATCGCTCATGTTACGCGGGTTTGAATTGAAATCATATTTTAATGTTTAATTGTGCAGCTTTACACTGAATGCAGGCTAAACAGTGACAGAAAACACCTTTAATTAAGTCAAAGAAAAAAAAATATACACACACTCACACACACACACACACACACACACACACACACACACACACACACACACACACACACATATATATATATATATATATATATATATATATATATATATATATATATATATATATATATATATGTATATTCTCTAGCATCATGTCTAAAGTGATGACAAAGATTGCCATCAATCTTTTTTCAGTTTGAAATCCTTTTATTTCTTTGTGCAATCAGGAATCACAATAATTAAAACTGAAAAAGCCAAAGCAGTAATCAGATTACTGTTGTGTTTGCTATAAGGAAAAACTCTAAACACATGCTGGCATTTCTTCTTTCTTTCTTTATTTTGTTCATATATATATATATATATATATATAGCCTTATTTATTAATTATTTCATGATAATCATCATATGCTCTTTCCTTCTCTTTTAGTATATAGTCTGGACTGTGTTTTGGGTGACTTGGAATGTCTTCATCTGTTGCCTGTATTTAGACCTTGGAGGGATTTCCAAGGTATGTAGCCCTGTCTCAGGGGGCTAGTCATAGAGCTAGTGTTACACCAAGTTTACATTCATTCATGCCATTGGTATGTAATGATCTCATCTCTGTGGTATAGGCATGCAAAATGGCATTAAACAAGATTAAAACACATGTGTGTTCTCAGTACAACAGTCAATAATCCATGAAACTGAAATTCAAAATTGTGATGGGAGATAGTTCACCCAAATATAAAAATTCTGCCATCATTTTCTGGCTAAATGTCATTGTCCTCATCATTAGATTCTGTCTAAATTTCTTTGTTCTGCTGAACACAAAGAAAGATATTTGTAAGAATGTTAGTATCCAAGCAAATCCCCCACCCATTTACTCATATAGTGTTTAGTGAATGAGGGGTGGTAAAATCTGTTTGGTTAAAGACGTTATTTCAAAAAGCTTCCTTTGTGTTCAGCAGAACAAAGAAATAATTATGACAGAATGTTCATTCATCTCTTCAAGTAATTTCTGTGCTGTGCTGTTATAGGAAAGCAACTATCTGTCATTGGGACTTTCCTCTTACCATTCATGGTGGAAGGACAACGGTCCAGGCTGTGAGAACAAAAACCTCCAGACCACTAGATGGCAGCATCTGGACAGTCCTGCGCTGGTCACTGACATGAGCTGCATGTTAGAGTATCAGTATATTGAGGTTATGCACAGCGCAGTGCAGATCTTCATCTCTGTAAGCCCCTAAAACTCCTAAGATCATTGTTTAAACTTAATAATGTTTTCATACATGTTTTACTCAAAGCAGCTGAGTAAATGAAGCCGTGTCAGATTTAATAGTTTCTTTAACCTACACATATATTTAGAAAATAACTTAAGAAATAAGTATTGTAGAGTGGAGACAGTTGCAGTATGGAGCAGTTCATTTGTATAATTTAAATCACTGTTTTATTAGCTTTAAATAGATATAGCTATTAGCGTTAAAGCTATTGTATCTCCCTAGCATCGTCAGTTTAATCAGGGTTGACAGCATGTTGCAACTGGCCCCAATTGCAAAATTCATTTAAAAGCTTGCCATATTAACAATGTATAATTTTATTTTTATCACAGTTTTAATGTAATTTCATTAAAAAAAAGATTCTTTGATTTATTAATTTGTTTCAAAGTTCAAAGAAGTAGTTTAGTAAAGGTGTAGTGTAGATTTTCTGTAAAAAATGTTTTTGTTCAGTTTTTAAGACCTGACAATTTATATTTCATAGGTAAATTTCACTACCTACCTCTGTGATTCTTTCATTTTCTTTAATTGCGTATGGCCAATTTAACACATTTAACAATTAACCAATTTATATTTAGTCTTTACCAAAAAAAAATAAAATCCAATTTTTTGGAATTTTTTTATTATTACATTTTAATGAATGTTGCAACTGTCTCTCTGCTTAAGGTTCAAGTTCAAATTTTGCATATATTGTCATATGTACACATATTATAGCAGTGTGGGTTTATTATATTAAAATTTTGGGTTTCCACAAAAAACTTTCTGAGAACCTAAAGGAAATGCAAAAAGTGTTGCAACTCTCCCCTATATGAAAAATTATAAATGTCTTAATATGTTAGTTATTAACTTAGTTTTAATATGAACTTATGAACTTATATCTGATATTCATCCATATACAAAAGTCAGACATGCTCAACATAAACATGACTTTGACTTTGTGTTTTTTTATATGTAGGTTCTGGGATTTGTGTTTGCCTGCTATGTCGTCAACATCTTCAATGAAGAGGAAGACACATGTTTGTACAATGATTTTTATTCACTGCTTTTCTCACTTCCTCATTTGTCGAATGGAGTGAATCATTTTTGTTTATTTTTGTGCACTGTGTTACTTTTCAGATTTGTATAAGTGACAGTGTCCAGATGTCACCAGCATCCCAAGAGTGAACACTGAGTGAGGAAAGAGAGCAGGAAAAATTAAAGCTACTACAAGAAGGGAATAAAACAGAAATCAGATGGATACCAAGTTATGTATATATTTGCATAAATAAAACATTATGAATAAATTAAGAAATAAGAGTGATGCAGCCAAACACCGCTCTTACAAACCTGGAAATTCAGGTGTGTCTCTGTGTGTGTAAGTGGAATGAAAGATGAGTCAAAGACTCTTCATGGAACCATCAATGCCAATAAAGATCCTTTATTTTCTCAGTAAAGCGTGTTTTATGACTGAACATGCTGAACTTCTCACTACCTACCTCTGTGATTCTTTCATTTTTTTAATTGTGTTTTCTGTTTAAGTCTGTGGCATATAATTTTTTTTCAAATGTTGTGTATTTTGAATATTTTTATATCATTTTTAAGTTATATTATAGATATTATGCTCAGTTTAATAGTTTTTGTTGGAGATTAAATGGAGATGGGTGAATTGCTTTACCTGTACTCTTGCCAGTACAGAGCTCAATGCTGTTAAATCTTTAATGATCAGCATCTGTCTTCTTATATTATCGCATAACATAAGCCATATTTGTGTGAGTGTGTATGGGAGAGCAATTACAGTATCTGCATGGTCTGTGGCCAAAGAAAAACATTGTGTAAATGCAAGTGATCATAAAATTACGACTGTATTTTAAATGTTGACTGTTGTAAATCGTGTCATATTTTCTTAATTTATTTGTGTACTTAATAAATGTTTGTTGAAATTGAATACACTGTATATGAAAATGATATTTTGTTCCATTAGCATGTTTGGCTCATTGGGCTAGCCTATATGCACAGCTTGTGTTTTTCAGTGAACTTCCAGTGAAAGGTTTATGATTATTTTCAATTTCATATGGTTCCTTTTACAGCATCGATGTTGTAATGTAATTCGAATATAAACAGTTAATTAAACTAGGCATCCATTTGGTTGTTAAAGTGTAAAAAGAGATAAAACACTTATCCAATGCAGGCGTCATCATTAGCAGCAGGCTAGTGCAGAAATTCCATTGAAAATACTGGGGTAAAATTAATTTCTATAAAGACATGGCGTGAGAAAAGAGACATTAATGCAGTGCTTCTTGTTTGGTCTGATGCCCACTTTATCATATCTCAGCCAGGCAGTGAAAAACGCTGTTTTATTTAAAGAAAACAGATCCTAAATGCAGCGATTTTGTATGGGAAGACAGTTCATCGGAAGCCCTGGGGCTGGCTGACTGAAATTAAAAGTGCAAATACCTCATTCTCCAATAGTTACTGGATGCAGCCTTTCTCCAATGAGTTTTGATATGTAATCTAGGGAATTCCCTAAATCGCTTCACGTTTCACTGACACCTAGTGGTTAAGATGAAAAACACGTTGTGTTTTTGATTCAGTGTTGGTGGCAACCATTGGTGGCAACGGCTGTGTTCGACATAGTGCGAGTTGTGAATCGTTATTCTGTTTCACATATTAAACCATTAGAAACCAAATACAATCTGATATCGTGAGTAGGTGTGAAGAAGCAGAGCTGCTTCCTATTAAACACGAAGATCCCCATTTCACCATTCTCTGACTGAGGGCTAGATCTAATAAATATTAGCTTCACTGGATGCTTTTTAATATTGTTTTAACTGTGGAAATGTAAACGAAAAGAAGAAAAATGTAAATGTTTTTTATGTATTTCCCAGGCATATGGTCTATGCCTTTTCATAAAAAAGACTATGCACATATATGTCGTCAAGCCTGTCATCGACATTAGTATGAGAAGTCCTCATCAGTGTTTCACGTCTGAATGCATGAAAAAAACAAGCAGAGGAAAAACCCGCTTTACTGACAAATTATGCTCTTTAATATTTTATTACCTACTACATGATGGATTATGGCAGCCACTTCCCATTCAGTAACTTATAATCATTAAAATGACAGGTATCCTGGTATATATACAATATGTTATACATAAGGAGGAGGTGTGAATGACGAATAAATGGGATGCAAAGGTTTAATTAAAAGAAGTAGTTTTAGTTTCTTCATAAACGAAATACATGAAAACATCCGCATAATTATTAAACTTTTATTAGTATGTTTAATATTAGTTTATATTATTAATTAGTCAATTATTTAATAAATTATTTCATAAACATAAATCATGTAATCATTAAGAAGTAATAAATTAATCAAAAGGTACTGAATTCTTTGTAATATTACGTGTGACATATATATGTTTTTATTGTATATAGGTACTGAAGAAAAAAATAATAAAAAAGCAAAGCGTTCTGTGCAGCAATAACTTTTCTCCGATTTTCTCAGGTTGATCACCTCCGCATGGCCACCCGGTCCATGTGGCGTCAGTCCCTCCGCGCAGATCCCGGATGGAGCGGCCATTGGGCGGAAGTGAACAGAGGTGCACAATAACTGCGGGCTGGGAGGAGGAAAAATAATATATACACTTTGAAATAAATTTACACACGGCGTGTGACAGCATTGGATTTAACTCCCGAAACCGCTGAGCCTCAGATTCTCTCGGAAACGTCCTCAGGCTGGACTTTTAACGCGCTCGAGAGGACCTGATCGCCGGAATCAAGTCGTGGAACTTGCTGAAAAAAGCGCAGTTGAGCCTGCACGGAGCCGAAAGGAACCCACGGGCTTCGGGTTACGCCGAGCACCCTCGCTGCTGCTTCTTTTTTCTTTGCAAGACTCTTGCCGAATCTAAAGAGGGCCTCTTGATGAATTATGTCTACCACCAGTATTGACCCACAGGTAGGTTGGAGTGGCACGGCGTCGCGAAGGCCTTTAGGAGGAGCAGGGAATGCGCGTGCAGCCTCCGCCGCTTCTGCGGAGACATTACGGGCATCTGCCTCTCCTTGCTCCTCTTAAGCGCGATGGCTAACGAGTTAGCATTCACCACACTCGTTTAAATTAACAGCACACCGCATTTCCTCAGCCAAAACAGATATTTCCGTTTGACACATCACAAACTGCGCTCCGGTGTACCTTCAGGATAAAACTTAATTTAGTCCACAATCTCCCTCATCAGCTTCCGAGAGTTACAACCAGTTTTCTCTGGACTTGGGCTGATCTGCGTGGTTGAAGAAATCTGTATCCGTCCTGGTGGTCGTGTAATTTTGTTTTATTTGACTACTTGAGTGTCAACATAATTCCCCTATTTCGCGTTATTGGGGAATAGCCAGCGTCCTCTGATAGCGAATTGATTTATTGGTGATGCTCTGATGGAGTCGATGTGGATTAAGAAGGGCATGAAACCTGGAGTATTTACATGATAAACACGAAGTGCTTGTGTTTAAAACAACAATTCAGCGATGTTAATTCTTTATGTTTCTGTTTCTATCCATTTCGGATCACCTACTGACTGGGAAGACATCAAAAGGGCAAGACGCTAAAGGTAAGCTGGCTCTTTAATAGTTGTGTTTTTACATGTTAAAGGTCTTGGGTTTAGTTTTTCATTCGTTTAATTGCACTACGATTAATGGTGTGCTGTGGCCTTCTAAGTAAGTTTGTTGCAGACTTTCGTCAAGTCAAGGTCTGGTTGTTTTGTTGCTTGAATATCATCACGTATCATTTAGAGTTTATTAAATCTTTTGGACTGCAGAACTGCTCCTGTTGGGTTTACTGTGCACTGAGACGTCTATTTGGCATTCATAGATTAAACATTAAATAGTTTATGTTTCATAGATATTTTGCATTAACTACTGTATTTGTGAATTC